TGTACTTAAAGGTAAAATATGAGGAAGGAGTCAGGAAAGATGTTGGTACATTAGTAACGCGGGAACATAGGCACTCAGGGATTTTCGGGGAGTGTGCGTGCTGCCCGCTTGTTTTCCTGCCCGAGGTTATAAGCTTACGAGGACGAGCTCATTCCTCTGTTCCCAAAGATGAAAGGCACTTGAGGAATGATTCTTTACAGCCTGGTTTATTAGACGAGATAAAGGGCTCCTAGACAAGATGGCAAAATGATGGTGAAAAGATATTTCTGAGAAATTAGAATAAAACCAAAGATAAAAGGGGATAATGTCAAAGAATATGACACAGGAGGTCAAGAGGAGGAGGAGAAATCCAACAACTTTGCAGCTACATTCCACATGCAGGAATATTCTGAATCTTCCAAATAAGAACGGTGTTCTGTGCTCCATAGGACATTCGGGTAAATTCTTGCATAAGTGGAAGGAAATTCATTAGGGTCTCAGGGGGGACAGGTATTGCGTGGCACTTGGAGGCTCCAGACTGTTCAGTGAGCTCCAGAATCTGCACACGGGGCTCTTTGCTCTGTGGTGATGGGGGGCGGATGGCTGACAAAGAGAGTTAGGAGCTCTCACTTCCTTTATCACCTCCCCTTGAGGCAGGAATCGCCAGCCCTTGATAACTCACATTCTGGACTCTGAGTGGTACGGCTCTGTGTGTTTTCTAGCAGAAACAGAGAAAGCAAGCCGCATGATTACTCAACACAGAGTTTTAAAAGGAACCTTGCAGCCATGAGAAGATTCTCACTCCTCATGGCACCACCCACTTTTTCTCCCAGTAAAGGGGGCAAGCATCTCGGTTTAACCTACTTAAGAATCACAGACAATAGGCACCGTCTGTTAATTCCAGCTGCTTCTCATAAGAAAGGGTAATCTGTCACATGGTGATGTCAGGAGGCCTTGGGATCATAAAAATATTTCCCAGAGGGTCTCCTAAAATAGGAGAAACGACCAAAAGTCATTCTGGTTGAGGTAACTGAGTACAGAATACTCCTCCAGCTGCAGAGATAAACAACACTTTCCCAATACAGATGACAAAACTTTCTCAGAATCTAGCCATGGCAGTGATGTCAGGAATCCTGGTATCTCCTGGAAGCTCAACTCTCATTACATGCACAACATCACACAGATTCCTGCCCTGTCCTGCTGATAGTTTTCTCTCTCGAAAGGCAAAGAAAGCAATTAGGAAAGCCGTCGTTCTTTTTTTTTTTTTTTTAAAGATTTTATTTCTTTATTTCACAGAGAGAGACACAGCGAGAGAGGGAGCACAAGCAGGGAGAGTGGGAGAGGGAGAAGCAGACTTCCCACCAAGCAGGAGCCCGATGCGGGGCTCGATCCCAGGACCCTGGGATCATGACCTGAGCCGAAGGCAGACGCTTAACGACTGAGCTACCCAGGCGCCCCAAGAAAGCCGTCTTTCTTGACACAATTCTGACCATCAAGGAAGAGCCAGCGGGCAATGGTAAGTGGCAGGGATCTCCCGAGTGACCACTTCATCTCGGGATCTGTCCACTGCACGTGGGTGGACGTGATCATCTCTCACAGCCAGCATCTACAAAGAGAAAGCAGGTATGGCTCCTGCCTTCCAAGAGCCTCCAGTCTACCCAGAAGATAGAAAACATTCAAGGGCATTTTATCAGGGGCAAAAAGGAGGCAGAGAGGGCCGGTGCTGCAGAAGTTTGAGGAAGGAAGAGTGTCTTGTGGAGTGGGACAAGGTGATCAGAAAAGGTCTGCTACAGAAATCTGACTTGAGCTCACTCATGGAAGGTGATGGATCGGGTAGGGGGTGTCGGGATGTGTGTGAAGGAGGAATGTGCGTTCCACGGCTCGGCAGTGGCTGGAGAATCCATGGGTGGGCAGTGGCTGGAGAAGTAGAATGGGACTATACACGCTTGGCATGGAGTGTGGCCCAGTGGAGAGGTCCTATAAGGACAAAGTGAGCAATGAGACCAAAAAGAGAAGGTGGTGCATGTCTTCCAGGTGTTCAGTGAGCCACGGCAGTCTTCTCGGAGAACCGCCAACACCCTCAGGGCAGGCTCCTGCCACCACATTTGTTCTCAGCACCATTCACCCTCCCTCACACCACAGGTGTTTGGATTGGGGTGAACATGTGACAAAAGCTGAACCAAACATAAGCTTTCTCCCAGGAAGTTAAAATTTGGTTCTCTGTTGGTTGGCTGCTTTATGGGCACAAACTCAGCAGCTAGGGGAGAAGACCATCTGCTCCTGAGGGCGGGTAGGGCGGGGAACCATGATGGCAGTCTGCAGAAGGAAAATGAAGCAGACAGAGAAGTGGAGATGAGCCCTCTGTCTTGTTCAGTCCTGGCCCCAATGCCTTCTGAGGCAGGCTGCTCTCCTTGTGGTGGGGTCCCTTGAAAGCCCCACACCCCGATGCATTTCCTTTCAACTCAGACCAGACCACCTCAGACCTGGGACAGCACCTCAAGGCCATGATGATGGCAATGGCTAACATTTTATCATGTGCCAGGCACGGAGCTGACTACTTCTCCAGAGTTATCTCAAGAAGACTTTAGGTAGATATTGCAGATGTTAAGTCCCTAAGTCCTACATGAGATCCCTGAGCTTCTAGGAGCATATTAGGGCCAGGACTGGCGTGTAGACACTCTGGCTTAGGCTGGTGCCCTCATCCCGGTGCTCTTGGAAAAGGAATGTGAGCTGCAAGTAGAGCCTATAACTCAAGATTTGACATAGTCCTTTATAGAAGAGAAGTAGGTGAAGATTTTTGAGCAAGGGAATGCTATGCGCAAGAAGGGGACAAATACACAGGAAGGCAGATCATGGGGGTCAGGCCCAGTCAGGAGATGCATTTTTCAGGGTTGTAGATGCCCTGAGCCTAACTGAGAAAGAAGGGAAAACAGAACTGGAAGGATATCGAGGTTGTTAGCCCAGAGGGACAAGAATCTGTGAGTCGCAGGGCAGGAGGTGGGGGAAGGTAGGATGGAAAAGTTGAAGAACACCTACATCAGTAGCCAGGGCAGAAAAAGCAGTGAAGCGGGACACAAGGCAAGGAATGAAGGAAGTCTACGGGGAACGAGCCAGGGAACCAGGTCGGCCTGCACACGGCGAGGGATGGCCCCTTACCGTGGTGCCTGGCGTTGCTGCCTGGATGGGGGCAGTGCTTTGCAAGAGTCACACTGGAGCTCAGAGCTCCAAAGGCGCTGGGAAGCCAGGAGTCCATCCGTGAAGGTCTAAGGAAGGATGGGAAGCCAATGACAGGGAGGCAGGGCTGTCAACGAACGTCTAGCCCACACTTGAAAGGTAGAAGGAAGACAGTCGCTGGAGGAGACAGGAAATCAGAGGGTTTCTTTCTTCTTATCTTTTTCTCTTTTCTTTCATTTCAAATCTTACTTTTTTTCTTTTTTTTTCCCCCCAGACAAGGAAGTTCTGCTTATGTTTGCAGGCAGAAGGGAAAGAGCCAGTAGGTGAAGCCGAAGCCACAGCAGACAAGGAATAAAGCATGGAGCAGGGGCCTGTCCTGGGGAGCCACCTGGGTTCTAGAAGAAAGGAGGTGATGACATGAGTGGAGAGAAAAATAGTTGGGATTCCCTGGCGAAAAAGTCCAATAAGGTAAACCCTCGGAGCAAGCAAGAAGGATCCCGAAGAAGAAAATGAGTGGGATGCATCCAAGGAAGGCCAGGCGGGCACCAGACAGCTGTCTGCTTGGGCCCCAGGCACAGCACAGACAGGTACAGACTTTGGGGAGGGGGGTCCCTGCCCGTGGGGTGCACATACTCTGCAGCAGGGCCTGGGCCTCAAAACGTGCCAGACAATTTTTAAAAGGGCTTTTGAGCTACATTTGGGGGTAAAACAACCAGGACAAGGTGAATCCACAGCTTGTGAGGATAACGTACGCCCACAGATGGCAAAAAGTAGGCACCAGGCCTGTTCTGTTTGCCTTCCCTTAGCAAAAGGATCTTGGGAGCGAGGAAGGTAATGGCAACATCATAAAGAAGTAAGTGAAGTGCAAGAGGGTGGAAAGAGAAGAAGGGAAAATTTGGCTTCCTTAAATGAGTTCAAATGTTCAGGCCCAGAACAGAAGGTGTGGCTCAGGGGTCCGTGTCTGGGGGAAGTTTCCAAGGAGATGCCAGTTAAGGAGAGAAGCAAATGTGGTCCAGATCGGTGGAACGAGGAAGCACCTGACCCCCAGATGGAATTAAACATTACACTGGTAGCCTGTGAATATGTAGGAGAGAATAAATATGTTGATTACTAAAAGCCACCGCGGTTCATAAATCAGGCTACGTTAAAATCAGCCCCATATTTTGAGGGAGAGGTGACTAGACTGCTATTTACTCACACCCAGTCTCATTCCAGAAAGCACTGAGGGTTGATAAAAGGGACACCAAAAATCTCCTGAGACACCGCACATTAGAAATATGTAACAAAACAAGAGAAACCAGTAAGAGAGGCCTAAGAATGGAGCCATAAATAAGACTAATATTAAAATGTGCAGCCTAGAGTTCTGCCCACTTGTTATATTCTATTCACTTGCTCAAGACAGACACTAAGTTGGCTGTATGTGTGCTACCAGGCAACAACAAAAAAGAGACCTGATAGATTGTGAAATTCAACAACAAAAGAGAGACCTGATAGATTGTGAAATTTCCTAAGCGGTGTCAAGTCATTGAGATAGCAGGAAGAAGAGAGAAGGGAAAGGAGGGATGGGTGGGGAGGGAGGAGATCCAGAAAGGTGGAAAGCAATAAAGAAAAGATGCACCATAAACAACATTTTAGCATTTATTGGCACTCAGGAGAGGGAGACAGTAGGTGGCTGTGCAGGGGAGAAAAAATACCTTGATACCTTGGAGCAGGAGAATTAGGCTGAGTTTAAGAGAAGTGATCAATGGTTTAGAAGCCACGCCCCCCTTGGGCTGACCCTGTTGCATTAAGGACATAAGAGCTTCACAATTTAACTCCAAGGAGAATTCCAGAATGTGATAGACTTTGCTTGAACTCCACTTTTTTCTTTACAGCTGTGTTTGCTTGGCCAAATCTATTCAACAATTGGAATTTTTGTCTGTTCTGCTATAAAACTGGAATCATTCTACCCACCTCAAAGAATTATTGTGAAAATTAAATGAAAGAAAGGGAAAAGAACCGCAATTATTCCCAAGCCTAGATCCAGAAGTAACTTCTCCCGAGGGTCCTCATAAAGGAGACAGTGTGTAACTGAAATAAGCAAAGACTTCAAGGACTTTCGTGCAGTTAAATGTAATATATTACCTCCAAGAATCCCTCTAACTCTGTGTTCTATGATTATTTGTAATTCAAATTAGAGTAAATTTTGTTAAAACAAAAGTCCCGACGCTGTAAAGGTATTCTCAGCCTTAAATGTTGGCCTGATTATTTTAAGCACCATTCAGGACAGATTCATTCTAGGACAAGCTGAATACGAATAAAATAAACCCGGGAGAACTTTCCATTCTCCTCCTGAATGGCAAGTCAGGGTCACACATCCTCTACGCCGGTCTGTCCTGGCCTCTGCTATGGAAAAGACTCAGTCTGCTCATTCACAGGGACCAGTGACAAGCATGGTTCTCCCTGAGGTTGGGCAGACCCATGTGGACAACCAATGACCCTAGTTGGGAAGGGGCTTGGGAAGCCTGTGGCCCTGTCTTCAGACAATATTGTATCAAGGCCAGCCGACCACATCAATGACTATCTTCAGATGGCTCTTCTAAGTTATCATGCCATACGTGGCTGGTCTTGCAGCTTGACCTTTTCTCTCACAGCCAATCCCCCAAAACGATGAGGCCCATTATCCTTATATCTGTTGTGATCCATTCTCTTGATTGATCTTAGACCCTACTCTCTGAACTGTTCCTAACCTGGCTGGCCCCCAACTGAATCCCCACATGTACTCATGCAGCCCCTTTAATTACACGGTGTCGAATCACCCTTGACACATCCTTGAGGTAATACTAACCAGTGCAGGCCCTCATGGCCGATGTTCCATCTGATTCATCCTTCTTACTGGATTTGAACAGAGTGATATTTGATAGTCATTCTCTTGTCTAACAACCCTCACTGACCCCACATCATGCCTCATGTTATTCCATCCTAAAGCACAATTGAATAAGACCATGGCACTCTTTGATTATTACCACTTTCACTTCTGATTTTTGGTAGAGATATAATAGAATCAGAAAAGGTCCAGAGAAGGGCAGCTGAAGTCCTCCAGAAACAGAAAAGTATCCTTCATAAGGATGAATTAAGGAAATTAGGAGTCTGCAAGACAAATAAAAATGTTAGTAGGAAACAATGTCCAAATTTTCAAAAAGTCTTGGAGAGGGTAACAGAGCACTCACTCTTAAACCAAATTCCATAATGCCAGACTGAGGCACCATCCCTTGATTCATAAAGCAGTTTGAAATTTGGAGCAGTGTGAAAGAAATTACTAATAACAATAGAGAAACGGGTGACATGGAGAGGCAGTAAGGACCAAAAATGTAAACTGAAGGAGGGTTCAGATAAAGCCATGTGAAAATCGACACAAGAGCATGATGAGGAAACTGAACATCTCTAACCTCTGAAGACAAGCTCAACTCCCAAAGCACACGTCAAGGTGACTACCAATAGCTGAGCTTTACCAGCTGTAGGACCTTACGCCCGTGTGTGGCCACCTGCAGTGAGGACTGAACGAGACCAGCCATGTCAAAGTATTTCGCACAGAGCCTGGCACGCAGAGCCTCAATAAAGGGCAGCCACGGCTGTTGTAACGATCTTATATAACTCGGCTGAATGGAGTCGCATCCAGCCCCAAATCACAGTTCTCCTGCTGAGTCACTATTCTGTCTTCAACAGATCAACAACCACCATCTGTCCATAATCATACCCTGCTGTCAGGTCTCCCCTAGCTCAATACTCGGGATCCTTCTGGGGCATTCCAGATAAGCCCTTCCACAGTTAGAAAGAGGATCTAGCACTAGAAATTCTCCAAAGCCGAGATCATTCTGGTCTCAGAAAAAAATCTTTTGGTAAAAAATAGACATTAAAGACTGCCAATGTAGACCTTCCCCCAATGACATTTGGTTAAAAACAAAAAAAAAAAAAACACAAAAAAACCTTGTGTGCTAAGAAGTAGAATGTCTGAGAACATGTGATGTGGCTATCTGAGGAACAACATGGGAGATTTCAGCCACTTGTCCCTGCAGTAAGACACGCCAAAAGTGAAAGATGGAAAATTGAAAGGTGAGTGGCAAGAAAAAGCTTTCTAGCCAGATGCACAATTAAGAGCAGCTCAGAGTCCATCCAGGGGAAACAGTACCCCTGGCAAGAGACAGTGGGAAATCTTCAAGAGAAAGACCACGGCTGGGACCCCCATCTTCCTGGTACATCCTATAAGGCCAGGCTTGCAGCTCCCTAGAAGCAGACATTTCTGCTCTGGAATTCACCTTCTGCTTCCCCGATTTGTAAAGCTGGTGGGATGATCTCCATTCCTGTTGGGTCACGCTTACCTTGGGCTACGGAACATTTGCTGGATTCCTGGGGCCAGGAGCAAAAGCAATGACAGGTGGAATTAGTTGGTTGGATTCTATAGCCAAAGAGCATTTTAGAGGTATTTTGCACCAGCCTCCCTTTTTTGCTGATAAAGGAGCCGAGGCCCCGTGCATTAGGGAAAGAGCTGAATCTAAGCCTGGCTCTTCTCACATGGTTGGGTCTGCCTATACCCAGGGATCATGACATCCACTCAGCCGGCTATGTGACCACTTGGCCTCCAAATCGCTCAATACCAAAACGGGGGTAGGAAGAGTCCTTCCCTTCCCCAATTGTAGGAAGCATTAAGTGAGATGGTTTCAATGAGACAGATTGTGAACTCTACTCGGCACAGCGTCTGGCACATCTAAGCATTCAGTAAATTATACCTATTATTGGAGTTCTTCATCGTTACCCCTTCTTTCTCATCCCCATAGGGTCGGGGAAAAGAGCAAACAATGAGAACATTTTTAGATTATCTCCTGCCTGCCATTCCTGCATTTTCAAGTGTTCATTTATTTAATAGGCTGTGTGCCTTGATTACAGTCCTATATGGGATTGAATTTACATTCCCAAGTATGTTTGAATTCCACTAGCATTCCTCTCCATGACTCCAGGGAGTCATGCTATGTCAATACCTCTTACCCGATAAGGCTTCAACTGGTGTCGTAAACTACCATTTGGACTCTGTAACAGAACTGTAAAGAGAGCCGCAATTAACGAATTTCCCAATTATTCTCCTCTATTCCAGATCTATTGTGCATTGCATCTTCCGAGTTGTCTTTCACCCTCAGGAATATGGAAAGAAAATGAGCAAAGGGGATAAAAAAGGAAAGCACCACTGATTACAAGCAGGTGGCTTAATCTAGGATGTATCCTTCACAGCTGAATCCTATCCCTGCTTCTTCTCTCCCATCCTCTCTTGAACCCCCTGCAATCTCCTTCTCTCCCTCCATCCCTCCCCTCTCCCAGGGCTGCAGAGGCCTCACAGTTGCCAAGCCCAAGGGCACCTGACCTTACAACCTTTTCCACCTTGTTTGGTGTGTGAGCCGCATTGACACACAAGGGTACATTAGTCTCTGGTGTGCAGTGCAGAGATTCGCCAAGTCTGTCTGTCAGGCTCTGTTCACCCCAAGTGCAGCCACCTCTTCCATCTTCAGACTCCCTCCTCCCTCGGCCCCTGGTCTCCTCCTACTTCGCTGGCCACTGCACCCCCTTGTTTATTGTACCTCCTCAACATCTCTTATTCCTGTCAGTCCTTCGTCCCCAGTGCCTTGCCTAGTTCAAACCTTTGTCACGGCTCACCTGACTGCTGCCATAGCTCCCCCAAAGGTTCCCTTGTCTCCCGGGTCAACCCCACACACCCGCCAGCACAACCTCTACGCCACTGGCACAATGGCGATTCGAAGAGTCGTACGCTGGCACGTGCCTCGCCTACTTAACGGACGCTGGTTTGGTTTTGTGTTCTGCCAACCTGCAGAATCATACCCAGGCAACTCCATACAGCGCCCGAGCCCCCCCAACCCCGCTGGCCCTGCCCGCCTCCCTTGCCCCATCTCCTACAGATCTCAGTGCACTCCCCTTGGCTCTCCACAATGCCATGCCCCTCCCTCGGCCAGAAACGTCCTCCCCCACCACCCCCCCAGGCCCAGCAAACCCCACCTCCAGGGTGTCAGCTCCAGGGTGCCTCCCCAGGCAGAGGGTCTGTGCTCCTCCCCCATCCCAGGCTAACAACCCACGGGAGGCCTCACACCCCGGAGTTCCCTGGCACTTCATATTCGACAGAAAGCTCCCTGAGGGCAGCAGTCACACCTTCCTGGATTTGGGACCCTGGTCCCTCACAGGCTGCCAGGGCATGTGAGCCCCTGGGTGCTTGGTCTGGTAGCTAAGCATTCCTTCAAAATGATATTTTTAAACCCCAAAGAAGAAAAGATGACAAAAATCCCTGTGTCTGCTCACGTGAGTGGCGTTCTGGGAAGCTTTGAGGAAGGGTGGGGGGAAAAAAAAAGAAACCCTTGTGGGTCTAAGTGATGGCACCAGAAGAACAAGCCTATCCCTGAGGCGCTATTTAAATTCCACGCAGTGGCTTTCTCTTTAATTCATTTTTATTCCAGGTGCAGCCCTGCAGCTATTTTAAAACTGAGAGTTAAAATAAAGTAATACTAATAGCTGGAGTTATCACAGGCTCCTGCAGTAACCGTCGCCTTGAATCAAAAAAAAAACCCTTCACCAGTCTTGACAAACCACAATATCCCTTCCCCGGGAGAGGGTGGAGAAGGAGCAGAACAGGGCTCCATCATCAAAGGATTGTGCTTCACTGTGCAAAAGCATTTATTCCTAGATTCCCTGAAATAGTTCACTTTGTACATTTAACCACCGGTTTTCAAAATGTTAACAGTCTGAAGGGAAGACCAAACTGCGAGGCCGGGAACCAGAAAAAAACCGAGAAAAGCTTCCTCCAAGTGTGGGCAAGCAGACCATCTGCCACCGGCCACCTGAGACCCTGGGTTCTGAGCACAAATGCTAATTCCGGGCCCCATCCCAGAATGTGGGATCAGAATGGCCGCTAGGAAAACAACAGTGTCATTTAAATGCGTGTTTTCTGCAAAGCAGCTCCATGCTAAGGAAAGCTGCCCCAGGAAATGGAGTTTTGTGAGAGGTGCCCAGAGACACAGCCCTGCCTCTGACCTGCTTGTCAGCAAAAGCCAGAGTTGTTTCTCTCAACTCATTAATGAAAAAAAAAAAAAATCATGATTTAATTACTGGCCCAAGCCAGCAGGGAGTCCACCATATTCACACCTCCCATCCGGGGAACTTCCCCC